CACACACACACACACACAGAACACACACACACACACACACACACACACACACACACACACACACAAATGGGCATAGTTCTCGCAGTGGCCTCGCTGTAGCACTAGGACGTCATCCAATTCTGCAGGTTGCTCGGCAGGGGGAGGTTCATGGCACGCTTGGTGTTGCGGACAGGTCCTGGGGTGTTATGCTGTTTTGTAGTTTTGTGGGCCGACGTGGAGGGATCTCCAAGTTTTTTTTGGACCTTTGGCGGATGGGGTCGGTGCTTTCTTGCTGGTGGAGTCCTCTGTCTTAGGTAAGTTGCTTCTTGCCCTCCACCCTTTTATGGATCAAATAAATATATGTACATATGTATATGCGCAAGTGCACCACTTCGGCGGCAGACGGGTGTGTAGGCACTTGGCGCTGAACCACACAAACGTGGCAAACCTTGCATTTTTTTATTTTATTATTATTATTATTATTATTATTATTATTATTATTATTATTTAACGGGAAAAAGTGCAACGTAGCTTCCTGAAGATAATAATACAATAAGCGCTGAAAGCTTCCTGGCGTGTGTCCCTGAAGGGTTCAACCTCAGTTACCTCATCACCAGAATGAGGTTATCATCAGGGGACTCCGGGAGCACATAGACAGAACTTGTTGTGACTGGTCAAATACTACTTCACAATCTCTTGCGCCTAGTGCTACTATCTCCGTAGGCGAAGGAAATCAGTGCTTGATGCGACACTAGTTCCAGAAGTAAAAAGTAGAGTTTGGGCTGATCCCACCTCTTTCCGCACGAGCAGGGGGGACCACCAGCGGCGGAAGGATGTGGAAACGTTGATGTCGGCAGTCGGGGAGCGATCGCCGCCAAAAAAAACAATTTGAAGGAATGCCGACCCGTACCCTGTTCCCAAAATGAAGGTGTCTTTTTTTTTGTTTTGTTCTGCTTTTATTTTTTGTCCGCCCATTCGCCCAACACAACCCCCGTCACAAGATGAGCGTCCCAAATATTACCAGACTGCACCTGCTGGAAACCGAGTCCAGCGTCCCAAATATTACCAGACAATGTTGAGTTTGCTGGAAACCGGGTCCAGTGCCCCATATATTATGCTATTGTCCTGGTTGCAGGCCTTCATGCTGCTGAAGGGCCCGGTTGTTCGTGCCATGTTTATTGCTGAAATTCCTCCTTCCACCTCTTCTGGCTCCGCTGTTAAGCGGTCTGTTGTTCAGAGGATCCAGCTCCCGCTGTTGTCTTGTTCCTGCTTCCATCTTTTCCTCTTCCGTCGTTGTGTAGTTCAGGGGGAACTTGGTTGCCTCGTCTCTGTCCCTGTATTGAGTAGGCCTCCATGTAGCACCTCTGACTATGTTGTGGGTAGCTTGGTTTTGGTTGTCCTCCTTTGTCGTTGTCACTCCCCCTGTAGTAGAGACCGCATCGCAGGTGGCTGCTCAAGTTGCGGCTGTCTCCTGCGCTGTCACCCTGTGCCTCAGGGTACTTGGTCTGGACAGCTGGCTCGATGGAGGAATGGGGCAGAGAGGTCAGCAGGTTCAGGGGGGAGGTGGTACGGGGCGGGGGATTGACTGGGAGTGGGGGGGCGGGGAGGGAGTGAATGGTGGGGGGGGCGTAGGTATAGGAGGGGGAGCGAGAGGGATCGGGGGCGGGGGGCAGTCCACTGGGAGGGCCGGTGGTGGTGGCGACATGAGAAGCAGGGGAACCATCAGAAGTGCCGGGGGGGGACCGTGGGGACACCGGGGGCGGGTCGTTGGGCAGGGGAGGCGGTGTTTGATCAGGCATTGGGGGAGGTGGAGTTGACTGTATCGGTGCCCCGCCCTGGGGAGGGGGGGAGGAGGGGACTCGGGCGGGTAAGCCATTCGGGGGTTGGGCTCCTAATCCTGCATTGAGGTTCGCCATGGGCATAGGGCCCAGTGTTCGGGGTGGCAGGGGCACAGGGAAGCATCCGGCTCATCCTGCATTGCCCAGTTCTTCCA